TAATAAATAAATAAATAAATGATACAAATAAAATAAGAATAAAATATAAAATATCACTCCAAATTTTCAGGGTTATTGATCAGCGAATTAAGGTCCAATTCGCATTCCGGTGACAATATAAATAAAAAATAAACATGACTTAACTTTTTTGTTGTTATTTAATCCTTTCCTTGAACATGAATGTTTATTGATTATTTCAATACATTTGATGTCATCATTGACATAACAAACAATTGCATTGCCCAGGTAATAAATAATACCAAGACCATGCAGAAATGAAAATTTTAATAATGTGTGTCTACTCAGATCTCTGGTGTTCACAAGAATAAATAAATAGAGGATCAAAAAAAAAAAATTTCCTTCCTGTTGTATAGTTCCTTATGAATAGAATAATAAGTCTAATGTTGATCACAGGTGTCAGACTTAATAAAATTTTCCTATAACTAACATGAAATTGCCATGCAATTAAGCACCCTTCAGCACAATGGAACCTTTTCCACAGGTGAAAGAGAATTGAACAGGTTGGAAGGCTTTGGACAAAACCTCTTGTCTTCACCTCAGACCAGGCTGGCTGTTTCCATATGAGCATTGATTGTTGACAAGAGTTGGCATCTATGTGATATGCTTCGCTAGAATAAAGTTGATATCTGCAACTTGGGAGGTTGCAACCTGGGAAATTGCTGTTTTGGATTTTCCCTGAATTCTGAGTTTTGAGTCCTGGGTTGCTGTCTTGTCAGTGGCATGTCTGCTCACCAACAACCCTACTCTCATTTAAAAACAAATTCAGTTGGTCAAATAAAAAATCACCAAAAAAACAGAACATTTATGAAAATGATTAATTTATGCATAACATACCAAACAAAACCTGAACCATTATTATTTTACAACTTTCCTCTCAACATTAGAGCCCAAATGCAATTTCAGAGTCACCAGCCCCACTCTGAATTGCAACCTCCCATCCTTGTAACAAGCTGCAGATTCTCTTAACATTCCTCCAGAGTTGCAACAGCTTGGATACAGATCCATCCTTAGAGGTAGGATCATTGCAGGCGACTTTTCAGTTAGCATGCCAGCAGTCTTCTCTGGTCTGGGTGCTGTAAGGGAAGATTAGTGAAAGTGTCATTGACAATTGATGCAGTCTTGGTAAACCCCAGAGCCTTGCATCCCGTCCTGAAAATCTAACATCATTGTATCATCAGGAGAAATGTGGTCAGATTAGCCTTATGTACATGAGGAATGTGAGAATGACTGTAAGTGTTCAAGGTAGCATGCATGCTTCAACACTTGTCAAATTTCTGATAATCAAACATCGCATATCAAATGTTTCACTTCCTTGTATCGCCTTGACATCTTGTGATTAATTATACAATTTATGGACAAAAATACTAAATGGATTAATTTTTTCCAATTTGAAGATCGTTAATATTAAAAAAATTAATAAATTAATAGGTAGTATGCCATGAAGGGTTGATGCTGTTTTAGAAAGTAGAGGAAACCCAACAAGATATTAATTTTTTTTAATGTTTCAAATTAGTGAGCAGTTTGAGATAGAGCTCCGAAACGGGTCGGGTCAGGTCATGATTTAATTGACCCAGGTTTGACCCAGGTCAACATCATGTTATAATTGTCTTTAAAAGTTCAAAATTATTTTTGAAACTAGTATAGATACTAATAAATGGATA